TGTCACAGACAGCAGAGCCGTTTCAGTGGACTGGCCATTTTTAAACCCATATTGGTTTGTATCAAGGAGATTGTTTTGTGAGAGGTATTCTGTTACCTGCTTAAAAACAGCCCTTTCAATGGTCTTTGACAGAAACAGTAGTAGAGAAACCGGGCAATAGTTTTCTACCTGAGTCGGTGGGAGACAGGGTTTCTTGAGCAGCGGTGTAACCAGAGCTTGCTTGTATGGTTTAGGAAATGTGCCTGATGTCAGTGAGGAATTGATCACGTGTGTGACTGCTGCAGTTACCGTAGGAGCTATGGACTGGAGTAGATTTGTAGTAACAGGGTCCAGCAGGCACGTAGTAGGACGGCTACATGTGAGGATTTTAGACACATTGCTCTCAGTGAAAGGGGTAAATGAAGAGAATGAAGCAGTAGGACTTCTGCTAGAATCTGTACTAAGAGCGGTTTCAGGTGTGGGCAGTTAAGTAAATTGTTTGCTAATAGGTAAAGAATGAGGCAAAACTGTCAGCTATTAAAGTGGTAGCAGGTGGCGGAGGAGGAGAGTTGAGTAGGGTTTTGAAGATGGAGAATAGTTTTCGAGCATCGGTTTTACTTTCAATTTTATCAGAATAGATAGCCCTTTTTTCATCAGTGATGCTTAAAGAGAATGCAGACAGCAGTGCCTGATATTTTGTTATATCTTCTGGAATTTTTTATTTTGCCATTTCCTTTCAGCAGCCTTGAAGTTGGTGCACAGTGATTTGACTGTACCATTAAGCTATGGGTGGGACTGGGAGACTCGGGCAGGATTTGTGGATAGAGGACACAGACTAGCCAAGCTCAATGTGGAGCAAAGGTACTCTGTGGCCTCATTAACTTCAAGTGAGGAAAAATGTGATGGAGTTGGATGCAACATGGGAGGAGAAGCGGGTAGATGAAAGTTGGATTGAGGTTTCTGTGGAAGGAAGCCACGTAGGTGGGAGCAGCGGGAGTTTTTGGGAGGCTTGCACTGAATTGAATAAAATAGTGATCAGAAAAATGCAGAGGTGTCACATAAAGGGCCTCTATTGCACATTTCCTTCTGAAAATGAGATCAAGCACTTTGCCGCCTTTGTGAGTAGGAGGACTGCTGAGCAGTTGTAGGTCAGAAGAGGTCATTGATGTTAAGAAATCAGACAAGTTAGGGGAGTCAAGGTGGATATTCATGTCACCAAGGACCATTGTGGGACAATCAAATCCATGAATGGAGGAGAGTAAGATGTCAAGTTCGTCAAGAAAATCCGCAACTTGTGCAGGTGAGCGATATATAGCAATCATGCACATTTTGACCGGTGCAGTAACTAAGATGGCATGGTATTCAAAAGTATTGTATTTGACATTAGGGATCAGTTGTTAATATTTCAATTTGTGGGAATTTAGCAAGCCTGTTCCACCACCTCGCCCAGATGTACGAGAGGTGTGGGAGAAAGTGTGGTTAATTGAAAGTGCAGCCTGGAAAGTTGTATTTTCGGGCCCAATCCAGGTCTTAGTGAGAGCAAGGATGTCAAGTAACAGGTGTTTTGCATAAGCAGTTATGAGGTCGGCTTTGTTTACTGCCAATAGGCTGTTCCACAACCCTACAGACAAGGCTGTCTCACAGAGGGAGGTTTCTTTGAGTGGGCAGAGATTATTAAGGTTGCGATGTTGTTTGGTTAAATGAAACCTTCTGCATGAACCGGAGACAAGAGGAATGGAATTAAGGCACATTCTAAGAACATGTGAGAAGGCTGGAGCTACGGCAATATGGCAATGGGACAATATTGCCTTGTTCAGTGGCCTTGCACAGGTAGACACACATGTGTTTACCCCAGAATTTCGACACGCACAAGTAGACACGCATGTCTTTACCCAAGAATGTCGACACGCACAAGTAGACACGCATGTCTTTAACCAAGAATGTCGACATGCACAGGTCAACACGCATGTCTTTACCCAAGGATGTCTATTACCGAGAAGTGCCGACGCTTCAACACTAACCCCCTTTTTTATACTCTGCACACAATTGGACTTAGCTATTCACGTGTTGGTTTAATTGCGCACAGCTGAGAGTGACTGTTGTCAGTGAAAGGACCGCCCACCAAGAGTTTACTGACAAGTGCTTTCAGAGAGGGGAGTTCCGCCCGTTCACACCCCCTGATTACTCTGATGACCCAACCGAGGTTTCACCCAAGGATAGATATCCTTTCACAACAGCAAATAAGAAAGAACCTTTAAAAAACTTACACTAGCAGACACATACTGCTCTATCTATGCAGCTCCCTAGTTTGTGTGCTGCAGTGCGTTTTTAAAGCTTTTGCCTTTAGTGAAACGACCACCCACCAAGACAAGTGCTTTCAGAGAGCGGAGTGCCGCCAGTCCACAGGCCCTGATTGTTTCGCAATGGCCCAACATGAACTGGAGTAGTTAATTATAGATACATTCAATTTCTCATGTAGACCAATGCTATGAGAAAATAAAAAATAAACACTAAATGACTCAATATGTCAAATAACAGAAAAAAAGTAAATGAATGTCTGATTTTCTCTCAGTTACTCATTTGTCTAATCCCAGCACCAATATAATTTTACATTTATTTTGAATTTATATATTTCCACATTTGTTTAACATATATTTTCTCATGTTTTTTATTCTTTATTTTTTATACTTTCCATAAACACAATGAGCTTTGTACCAGGTTCTTCCCAGTCATTCTTGTCCTTGTTATCTTAGATAATATAGACTGTGTACAGAAGACGTATCATTTAAAACTATTTGGGCTACACACTGACAAGATGTTGGGTAATGTTATTAGAGGACACATACCTCTGATATTTGTACTTCAAGAAAAGGAAGAGCAGAATCTAGTAGGAGGTTACGCTGCCTCCTCCAAGGTTCAGTTGCTGCCAAGCAGCAGAAATTATTTCGATAGTTCTTTGCACTTTGATCTTAAACTGCATGAGGTTCAAAGAAAAAATGTTGTAGCTGTTGAGAGTTTTTTTTAACACATTTTGTTCCTTCAGCCACTTCAGTTTTACGAAGTATCTTAACTGGCATGCAAAAAAAGATCAACAAACACAGAATGATTCATATTTTTCCAAAGCAAGACCTCCTCTTTGTAAATTAGATCATAACCTTTTTTTTCTCTGTCCAGAGACTATCTGTAACAAAAAGAAAACATGAAAAAGTGGTCACAGGAAGCCAAAGAAGCCTTACAGGGTTGTTTTTATGTTTCTGGTTGGATTTCCCTTTGATTTTCCCTCCCTTTAGAGAGGACATCGATGCCATAACTGAGTGTATATAAAATTCTGTGTGGACATCATCCAAAACATTGATCACCCAGGCTATTTGGGATTGTGTATATTCTGGGCACGCAGGTACAAGAAATATTGCCGGCTTATACTGTACTTTCTCAACATGGAACACAACAGCATGTCTCACACGCTACTACCAAACACAAAACAGCATTTTTTTGGTTTATAGTTATTGAGAAAATTGTTGCAGCTGTTAGGATTTGGTTATAAATACACACTTTAGCATTGTTTGCTATCACATGATCTTTGTAGATTACTAATTGTTTTATTTCTTTTATAACTATATGAAGTCTCTGGCTGTAACCACAGATTCTCCTTGCTCTCTCTTTTCTTTCTCTCTTTTCTTTCTCTGTTGCATTAGATCCACGTCTTTAAGTCAACACATACACACATTATTTGGTACCACATTCCAATGTCATCAACATGAATTTACGATCCGGCTTGTTAGTCTTAGAGATAACTAACCAATAGGACTTGGTTGTGTCCAGTCCTCCTTTTGAGGGGTGTGCCTAGCCAGGGAGACAAAGACCCATCACACCCAGATCTCGGAGCTCTTTGCCGACTGAGACCCTGAGAGAGGGGTTTCCTCTGTGAAGAGCCCAGCGCTGAAATACTTTACCTGTGACCCAATAAATGTCAATTTTTACTCTTGATCGACTCTGGTTTATTCTCAGGTTTCCAACTAAAGAATCGGGCTAACACAGCGCAGCTCAAAGATACTGTAGCCGAGCGTTCTGGGTTCGTCAATACGGTGCTACTATCTATATGTATTTATATCGAAAACAACAAACGGGACATGAGACAAGACAGCATTTACGGTGGAAACTCCACTCCACTCACTTTTATTCTTGTTTAAGTCAACATCAAAAACACTCACATGCTCCCCCTGCCATAAAACCCAGCAAGGGTCAGTGGAGTGACCACGTTGCTCCTCCTGAGAGCTCCTGGACCGGTAGCCCCACTCACCACGGGTACAGTGACAGCGTTCTCCCGAGGGCGAGCGCCCCCTCATGTCATTATTCCATGCGTGCAATCTCTGATTGTCCTCATAAAGTTCTCTCATTTCCACTCTCATGGAGTACATGTCCTATGTTGGCTTCTCAACAGCTTTCTGGAGACACCCAGACACCGACGCGGACTGGACAGATGGACTCTCACCACCGTAGGCAGCAGTACCCACATAGTATCTCTGTAGGGCAGCTAGGGCGTTCTCACAGCGCTCCGCCACGTGCAACGCCTCCTCCAGGTCTGTGGCACCCCTATCCAGACATTTGGCCTTCAATGCCGGATCCAGACTAGCCAGGAAACGCCGAAACTTCTTCTCTCTCTGTGCAACATCACCATAATCCGGAAAGGCATCCGTGACCAGCCATCTCACGTCAGCAGCGTACATCTCCAAGCTTTCACCAGGAGCACGCGCCCAGGCTGTCAGGCTGGCTCTAAAGCGGTTTATCAACTGCTCCTGTCCAAACGCCGCCCCAAGTCTCTCCTTAACCATGATATAATTCGACTTGTTCGCCTCGGGGAGGCTGTCCCACAGCGGAAATGCAGACTTTCCGAGACGAGTGGGCAGAATCCTCGTCAGCTCCTCCGTACAGTTGCCGCCGCTCCTGGCTGTGGCGCTGATGGCCACCTCTAGCTGCCTCGCTCAGCTGAGGAAAATTTGGCTCCCATCCCCAGTGAAAGGATGAGGCAGGTCAATCTTAACATCTCTGCCTGGTAAGTGTGCCCGAACCAGGTTTCAAAGGGTCCTCGTTTGCAAACCACATGTCAAGGTAGCGCTGTTTTCCCAGCACCGCACGAGGTTAGCCAGGTATCTATATTGGAGATATTACGCTAACCAACTAACACGTAGCCGTAATGGACCAAATACACCACCAACTACCAACGGCGGTTCCGAAAAGACCACCGCTTCCACCAAGGTAGCCGAGCGTTCTGGGTTCGTCTGTCATGAAGGTGGGTGTTGACGGAGGACTCAGGTGCGGAGATGAGGGGAACAAGGTTTATTGTCACAAAAAACACATGAAGAGTGAATGTCCAGACAAAGTACAAATCAAAGCTGTGGAAAACTGTGAGCAAAGGCAGCGTAAAGAAAACAAGACTGTGGCAAAAACTATGACTTTGACAAAGTAACTAAATAAAGATTAACAAAACTGTAGCAAAACTGTGACTATGACAAAAACAAAAGACTATGGCAAAACAAACCTGGCGTGGGGGAGACGACGGACAAGACGGACTAGAACGCAGTCGCACAAGACAAGGGGAAATGAGGACCATTTAAACACATGAGGGAGGGAAACCCCAGGTGTACACAATAGGTAATCAAGACGAGACGAGACACCAGACGTGACATCGTCAATACGGTGCTACTATCTATATGTATTTATATTGAAAACAACAAACGGGACAGGAGAAAGGACAGCGTGTCCAGCGGCAACTCGGCTCCACTCACTTTTATTCTTGTTTTAGTCAACAACAAAAACACATAGTGCTCCCCCAGCCGTAAAACCCTGCAAACTCTCGCTCTCTAGCAACTGGAAGGGACACACCTTCTTTTCCATACAATCGCAGAACAATCTATTACACTACCAATATTCTCCTCAAGTCCACTAATAATTGTAGACGTGTGTGTTGAGGGCAGCTTTTTATACAACTGGTTGTAGCAGTCCCAGAGACTTAAAAATTACTGAGATTGGGACTTCATTACCTAAATTTAAGTCTACAACATATTTGTTCCATACGTTTTTGTGCATTTAACTTGTCAACATACTTTAATCGATTTCTACAAGTGTTTCTGATAAATCCCTGCAAGAACTCATACCTGTCATAAATCTGTCAGTTAGGTGTTCTGCATTGGGCACGTGCCCATTATAACACTCATTCACTCATTATGAATGAGTGCTCTATGTGCGTGTGTTCCTGCAAAACCACTTTCACACTGAGACCACCACTGACTTAATACTTTACTTCTCACATGAATTAATTAATTAATCCAATAATAACAATTTCTCCGGTCTGTTTTTATACTTCTAACAAAAGAACTGGGCTAACATAAATTAGGCATCAATGTGGTGGTCATACTTTGTGGTTCATGGGTGCTGCTGAGTGTTTGAGGCTGGGCGGGCTCAGGGTGGAAGCCTGCACAGCATCACACTTGCAGCCTATTGAAAATCAGGCACCCTTGATATGCCTTCACTCTCCAGGTTTCTGACGTCAGATGATTACCTATAGGATATTCAAACTGTTAAAGTTGGGCTATAATTACTCACTTTAGCACTGTATGTTATAACTTAATCCATGAAAATGAAAGATTGTCTTATTCCTTTCTATATTTATATTATTCCCTTTAGAAATATACTTTTGTGTTAAACTCTCTACAGTAGTATCTCTACAGTAGATACACGTCTTCAAGGTCAACATTCACACACATACTTTCTTATCATATTCCACCGAAAATTGCATTAATTAGGAGCCTCTGGCTGGTTCATGTCAGAGCTAACTGCCCAATAACACTCGGTTACGTCCAGCCGTCCTCCCTCGTCGAGGCCCGGGTCAGAGGATAACTGCCCATCGCACCCGGAAATAGAGGCTTTGGCCAACTGAGATCCCCCTGGAACTTTGTCTCTGAGAGCCCAGCGCTGATATACATTACTTGTGACCAATAAATGTCATATTTGTACTCTTGATCTGCTCTGGTTTATTCTCAGGCTTCCAACTAAATAACCTAACTAACAAAATCGACGACTGTCTTGCAACCAGTGTGGTTGTTCCTGTCTGTTTAGCACTCCTTATGGATCTACCTTCAGCCCACCACCAAGCCCTACACGCCAAAGACACCTCCTCCCCCCTTTGGAGTTTTGGCATCTCCACCTGGACCCTGTATATCCTTTCCGTTCCCCTGGTACCTCCACTCTCCTTGCAAACCGATGAATGTCCTGATATTCCCTTACCCAGTAGTTCTGCGTGTGCTTTTGGGTCCTGTCCACACTTCTCCCACAACAATTAAATTATAAAGATATTTTAGAAGACAGAGGCTGTGTCTTTTGGTGTCTATATGGAGTTTGCATGTTCTCCCTGAATCTGCATGGGTTCCCTCTGGGTAGTCAGGCTTCCCCGAAAACATTCATGTTAAGTCAACTGAATAATTCCCAGAAGAGTAAATGTGAACGTTTGTTTGTTTGTCTCTGTGTGGCCCTTCGATTGACTGGTGATCCTCTGCGTACTGCCCCAGCATGCAACAGCAAAGACAATCACATTACCCACCACAGACTAATTTAGTATTCTTAGCATAGTCCAGCAGAAGTTGAAGGACCTCAGACAACTCAGAAAATAGAGACTACTCTATTTCGTCTAGATTCAGGATTATGAAAATAGGATTGATTTGAACTGAGGATAATTCATGAATGCAAAAGTGAAATTAAGAAATCTCAAAAATAAAAAAAGGAACGGATAATTCTTAATATTAGCCTTTAGCAACCAAGACCCAGGCATCACTGTTCAGGGATCATTTAGTGTGTCTATGACAGCAGAGTTAAAATGATAATTAATGATTATGTTCTTTCAACTGTTTTTTTCCCATTAACTTTTTCAATTTTTATTTAATTTTTTCACATTTTTCAGTGAGAATCCGACCAGGGACATTGTCACAGAGGGTTCAAGATCTCTGGAGTGCATGCTCTCAAAGAGCCTAAGAACTTACTGGTGAAAATGTAACAGTTCATCTTCACTACGCATTTGGCTCTGCAAATATAACTGGCTACAGAACTTGGTTGGGAGAGGAGAAAGTGTGTTGTATGTCACTTAGGGAGTGCTTTAAAAAATACATTAAGCAGAAAGCTCCTGTATGTTTCCCCTTGAATCATGGCTGCTGTCGCTTAACACAGTTAACGCAATCAGGTTTGTAAAAGTTTTAGGGATGTGATAATGATCAAGGACCTACTAGTCCCTGTTGGCAAAAGTGAGTTTCCAATAATATTTTCAGAATCAGAATAACAATTCTTTTTATTGTCATTATGAACATACAGCAAGATTTAAGCTGACTCCAAACAGTGCATCAACATTTCCATTAGCAAAAAGTATACGCAGTACAAACATAAGGAGAAAAAGGTGCACAGTCCTCTCTTGTAAAATATGTGTACAAAAATGTTACACATTTCAAATTGTAGGGTGGGATATTGCCCATAATAAGATAAAAACTGTGATATTGAACATTTATTGGATATTATGTTTTTTAAAAGTTGTTTTTCAGTGCATGTAGGAGTTCAGGGTCGTTATCACCTTAGGAAAGAAGTTGCTCTAGATTCTGTTAGCTGTAGTCCTAATGCACCTGTAGCGTGTCCCTGAGTGGGTGGGAGCAGGCTTTACAGATATTTTACATTAGCAGCATTGCATTTCTTATCTACCCGGTTTCATTTGAACCCTCTCTCAAAATGTTCCTGGTGAGATCAGTTATGTTGCTTCCTATGAAAACACTGCCCCCATTTAAAGAGGCAGATACATATAGTTTACATAGATTATACTGTATATAAGGTAGTGGATCTTTTCTGTTTGGGACCAAATTTTTCAGTTTCATACAAGTGTATGGCAATTTGTCAGTCTTAGTCAGAGTTAGGATTTCAATTAATCTTCTTCAGTGTTTATAAATGTTGTCTTAATTTGACGACTGACTCGATTGTAAATCGGATCAAATACAAATTACATTGCAACATCTATTTCATTAATGGGATCTCCCTATACACTGATATTTAGTTAATACATTTTGAAAATAAAAGTGCAACCATCATAGCACAATAACAGAGCCAGCTAATTTCTCAAAACACAACCCTCTATCGTTTGACGAACCCGAATGGGGATGTTCGGACGAATATGCCTGCAGTGCAAAGCAACACAAATGTTTTCTCGCATATCGTTGAGTATCCAAGAAACAACGGGAGCTCCAAGAGGTGGGTGTGGGCCCTTGAGCTCTGAAAAGACTCCAAAACATCGCTACATGAGACTTGCTGTGAACATGCCTGTTGATCACGACACTGACAAATAAGACAGATTACAAGCTGCGTGAACTGCGTAAACCAATACATCATCGTGGCACTCACACACACGCATGTTTATCACACACAACTGAGTCAAGAGCCATCAGCCATACAGTTCAGTTAGGTGGGAGGAATAAGCAGAGGGCAAGAATCTATCCGTCTACCCAACGTTGGTAAGACTGTGGAATGGTAGACAGAACATCCAGAATATGCTATGCTTACATTTTACTAAATGCTTTTAAGATATTAATATCTTTACAATGGCAGTTATACATCTTTTAGTCAGATGACAACTGCACCTCATTCTGTACCATTTGTAGACCATCATATTCTTCCAAAGGGGTGAACTATGACATCATTTCAGAGCCGGAGTCTATTTTCTAGTAAGTAGAAGCTGGACACATGCAAAGGTTAAGATCTTACTCACACTCAGCAGACTCACTCACAGATGAAGCTGTTAGACCACAGCTGACAGCTTCCACTGTATCAGATGCAGTCGACCTTTAGCCCTCCTACTTTTATTTTGAAATTCACCATTGATTTCAGCAGTAACAGACAAAGAATAACAGGCGATACAGCAGGAGGACCCATTCTACAGCTTGAACACGTCTCAGCGGCACAGAGGTAAGACTTTTAATCTTTTAATTACATAAAAATCATGAATCGTCAAACAATTTTTTTGATAAACTG